CGAATATCAAATTGCGTTACAGCATAGTCCAAATTGTACAGAAAACATTTATGTTTCTGCTATCTACTAGTGAAAGTTTGTAAAGTCACGAATTTGAAACACAATGTCTACATTCGCTTGCAACTCGAGTATCAGGTGAAATGTTATTCCTGATTACTTTGTCAAAGAGAATTGCTTCTTCGCGATCCAAGGTCGATTTAGAAGTGAACAAGTAAAAGAGTTCATGTGCGAACGTACAATTTCCTGAAAGTTGTTTTCGCAACGCGCTTTCATGGTTTTGTTGGCAAGCAACTCAAATTAGCCTCTTCGCCAGTGCGACAGTACTGCTTAATACAGTTTGGTCTCATTGACAAACCATACGCGTGGAGCACTCTATTCTATGGACTTGTAAATTGTTTATAAAAGTATAAAACAAAGACGCATTGCATATTTGATCAGATTGGAGGTGCACCATATACACAATACCGCCTCAGCAATTAGGACAGGTACCTCATCACTAGTAGGGAAGTATGTTACAGGGACGGCAGCCAAGGGAAGGACACAGCCATAAAACCCCAGAACTGAATGTGTGTGTGGATGTCAATCAGACACAGAGACCAGTCTCAGAGACTATATATCATGTACAGTATATAGCAGTCAAACAGAGTGAGAGTGTGAAGCCGCGAGTGCGAGACTGTGAGTGCCAGTGGCGGCCGGCGGGCTGTGATGAATGATGACACTATAGTTTTAGCTTCTATTTGTTTTTGAAAAACAAAAAAAAACAATATCCTCTCTAGTAGTAGAGTCTCTACAGTACAGACTAGAGAGACTCTCTCCCTCTGCTATTTATTAAACTTTACAGTTTGACACAAACACTCATTTGCTAAAAAAAATTATTACCTTGTTGACCTGTTCTCGCCCAGAGCCCAGGCCCCAATAGAGTAGTATTATCTGCCAACTGAAAACGAGATGCTCTCAAACTTTAAGGCATAGCGTTCTTCAGTTCTTCAGTACATCCTCGAAATATGTAAATTGTAAGTAGTGCCCACGACTATGTACGAGTGACGACAGACGAGAGTCTCTTATATAAAATAGTTGTCCTCGCTCTCTCCACCGAGTCACAGACTCCAGAGTGACCAGAGTCCCAGACTGAACAAGAGTCTCCAGACTCTGTCTTACAGACTACAGACTACAGACTACAGTTGTCATACAGACTGCAGACTACAGTCTTACAGAGAAAGAAAGACAGAGTTGTAAACTCAAAGCCAAGCAGTGCAGACCTCATACCGTTATACGTTGCAACGTTTTAAAACCATTGCGTAAGCGTAAAACGTTATACTATTTGATGCGTTACATAGTCCCAAAATTCATATGAGGGGTCATTTCTGGGTTATAGTATTTGACCGCCACGCCCGGGCCCGCGGGCCACGGCCCCGCCGCCCCGCCCTCATTTTCCTGTCGGTTACGGATAGAAAGGCCCGTCAGACCTCTGATGGGCAATACTAGTGTCATTCCTCCTTGTTTTAGCATACAAACATAGTTAATAGTATGACTATGGGGTCGTTTGTGTGAAGTTGTGTGTTTTCTGTGTTACAGTTGTGTTTCTGTGTGTATAATTGTATATATACCTGCAACGGCTTGCTAACAAGTACACTTCCATAGCAAGTATATCTTATATAAACACGCTAGTACGCCTAAGCCTCTATGCCTCTATGCGTTGAAAGAAGTGTGTATTTATTCATGTTTCAATAAGATGTAAAGACATACAGTGTGCACACAGGTCACTATTCACTCTAGAGACATACAGACAGACCAGTTCTAGTACAAAAAGTGTTGCAAACCGTCGTGGTAAGCGGCCTAAAAATAGCAACGGTCATCTGTTTTCAGTCACGTTTGATTGGTTAAACGCTTTGTGGCTAAAAATTACATGCTAGGTGCACTATCTGAGTCTCACATGTGAAATAATTTGAGGTCAGAATAGTCACCCCTATGCCTTGGATCATTAAGTACTAACTTAATGAGGTCTGACTTAGCAGTGCAAAGTGCAAAGTCAAAAGTGAAAGACTGTCACTGAAAATATGTACAAAACTGCAAAGTGGCAAGTGCAAACGCCGTTTGTCGTTCATGTTATCACCATCTCTCTACTCTCTACTAGGAGTAGAGAGAGAGAGTAGAAAAAGTAAAAATTATGGGAGAACGGACAAGTCGTATCATAGGGACTCTCTAGAGAGAGGGAAGGAATGTATGTGGAAGGACTCCGCCGTAGAAGTCGTTTGAACTTGGCAGTTTTCTGGCCTGGCACCCGACAACGAGACTGACATGTTGGTGTCGGTTCTCCTCATAGAAGTCTGGGTGCAATAGGTCAGGTCAGTAGGACCACCAGTACTGTTCTCAATGTACTGATGACTAATTTTTTTTCTTTTCTTTATATTATTTATAACGGTCTCTTTGGACTTTAGGCGCATTATTTCAAAGAGTGGTGTACTTTCTTGCCCTGCTCCTCGCAGAAGTATGTTAGGGATGGGCGCACTGTGTAGACGTTTGTTGAGTTTTGTGTAATCTTGGACTGTTGTTTGTCGACGACGCACCACCATGATTAAATACTTTTTACAGATGCTAACACAATTCGTTTCAAACAAACAATAAACATGACAATTAATAACCGTTTCACGAACCACTTCACTCATAATATCATTATGCTATATAGCTTCAAAGCTTAAGGTATGAATTTTTGTGAAGAAGCATAAAAGCCGCGCAAAAAGCTGTTATAATACTACATATTTACAACAAATTAACAAATTAACAACCACAGGATATGATAATAGTTAAATTGTGTATGTATCAATCATGACCCTCACTAGAGAAGAAAGAAGATAAGGCTGAACGGACTAACGTCCGTAGGACTCAATGTTGCACTTTGGCTTTCGGGTTTTCGTATTTCTACTTTTGTTATCGTCAACTGACAAATGTCCTGGATATTTGAAAATTTCATATTTGCAAATCCTTGAGGTGCATTTCGTAATTATTTTCAGGTGGAATTATAATATGTATTCACGTTTTTTGAATGAAAAATCTATGTCGGCAAAATCGGTACAGTTGACACTATATAGCGACGACACCAATGTCCGCGTCGTTTACCATACATAGACGTAAGGGCAGCGCTGCGCAAGTCTGCAAGTGAATACAATCACAAATGATTGAGTTTTATACGTTTTTACATAACGTAAAAAAGAATATGAATTTTTTAATTTTGTTTGTTTTTAACACAAAACAATAAATGATTAAAAAACTGCTCACTCTCAAAAATTACACGCAGTTGAAAACTTAAAATCCCCCAGTATATTTTTATATAAAAAACAAAAAGAGTTTTCTCACACAGGTATGTACAGTCCTATGATCAATACGTTTGGGGTACGGAGTAGAAGTTAAACGTGTAAAACGTTATAACGGTTATAATGTGATCAAAAGGGGCCTACCTAAGTTTTTATAAGACTGGCTCGTATGGCGAAAACGGTACACACTTGAAAGTTTAGACCCACAAGGTGCACCTGTGAGCATCTAAACTCCAAAGGATTGTATGTAGAATAAAAGTTTATCGTAAACGTATATTTATTCGACATATAAAGGTTTTAACCGAAACCAGTTGAGATTAGGTACATCTGCAAATATTAGTTAATAATTAGTGATCTAAACTTTACACTACACTTTACAGACATCATTTTGAATTTTTGTTGGTGGGTGATAAAAAGTGAGTGATTAGAACCCATTGACTTCAACGATGGTAAATTTTATTGTTTTTCTCAAAAGAAGAGTTGTGAGTTGTGACTATCAAAGTCAATATGTACTGTTTTTGTATTGTGAAGTATTGGTTTTTTAAAAACAAAAAACATATCCTTTTATATGACATTGCTCATTGCTGGACTCAAGAGCCTGATGAGTCTCCCTGAGACTGTCATATACATATGATTGAACCTAAGGACACCCTAATCTCACAACAGGTGGCTTACCCTTTAGGAATCACTAGTAATGATCATATTTACTAGTGTGAGCAATGAAGCCCGCACATATCGGTACATAACGCGTCATATTTAGTGAATAGCTCAGCTTTCTCGCGATATTAGTAAATATAAACATCCTAGGCATACTGCAACGGCCTACCCTGGTTTCCGTATCAGAGGCGGTCCAGGGTGGCAGAGGTTTCAGGATGCTTATACCTATCAAATTGGTTCTTGTTAGCACAACCTGCTTTTTCGTCGCGTGCTGGTGTCTACTAACGGGCAACAACCAAGTTTTGCGTGGTACTGAGTTTAGTATAGAGCTAAGTGAGAAGAATACGGTTGACGACCTTGCTAGTTTGTCAAGTGCAAACGAGTGCACGGGCGCTTTGAATACAAATATTGAGGATGAACATGTAAATCAGGATACAGACTCTGCAGTGCCTGAGAACGTAGGTAGTAACAAGTTGGACGATGCTTCAACTTCGAACTCCATCGATGGTGCAGTGGATGGAAAGGAAGGGGAGCTACTTGACGTAGACGTTTCTATGCAGAATCAGTTCAGCTTTAAGGGCCAAGTAGAACAAGAGGAACAAATTGATTCCGGGGACACTCTTGATTACCCGGAAAATTGCAGGTGAGAAAATTCTACATAT